CAGTTTATATCCATTTGTTCTTGTGTCCACATTGGTACTGAGCTTAAATAATTCCTCTCCCTCCCTGGTATTTATCCCTCTGATATATTTAGAGAGAGCAATCATAGCTCTCCTCAGCCTTCTTTTGGTTAGGCCATCTGGCGGCTGCTAAAGGGGGCCGACGGGAGAGAATTTGGATGGGTCTCCCCGCTGTTCCCAGGCGACAATTGTCCACAGCCCAAAAACACAGTTGGTCGGTGCTAACGGGCAAGTCTCAAGAGAGCCCCTGGACTGGATGGGCCATGTAGACTGACCTGCCCTTTCACGCCCCAAGGTGGCCTTTCCGGGCCAGGGGCGCTGGCCCATTGGTGGAGCGCTGTAGGGGACACTTGCAGAGCTCTGGCCTGTGATGCACCAGTTCTGCAAATCCTGCTGGGAATTTCGTCTTCCAGACCCGACAGCCCGGCACCCCTCTTCTGTTCAGTTCTGGGGCTGTGGTTCCTCCCTTCACTGAGGGGGTGGGGCCTTTTGTTACCCACCCCCCTCAGGATTTAAATAGACCAGCCCCTCCCATCGGCGCTGGAAGGTGCTCCTTACAAACAGCTCTCGCTCTAAGGTCTAGATAGATCTAATCCTTTCCCAGACCCTTAGGCTCTTCCCAGCTTCCCCCCAGCTCAGTGACTGGCTCGTCTGATCGGTTGCTCGCTGCAATGCCTTAGCTATTAGCGCCCAACCCCTCGGTGGGATGGGGGAACAGTGCAGTCAGGGATTTCTCGGGTGACCTTGCCCCTCTTTCCTCTGCAAAGGGACCTTTACCCTGCAAAGATTTACTGAGCCATCCGGGTTTGGTTCCCCTCGGCAGCGCTGGCCCACCCAGGTACCCGTCACACTGCCAGGAGCCCTGTGCTTGCTACTGTCGGAAGCCCTGATGAACGCCTGTGACCCAGCAAGGCACAGGGAGCGTGGCAAGGGCGCTTGGCATTCCCAAGAGGCTCTGGGGAGTCTCCTCTTGCACGGAATTCGAGACACGCAGAAAAGAAAAGAGCCCTGCTATGGACGAGTGCAGTGAACTCATCTCTAAACCCTTCCAGCTCAGGACCCCGGAGCCATCCTACAGAGAGAAACGGGCCAGATCCTGACGCCCTTGGTTCGGGGTTTATTTGTTTGTCCTCAAGCAGATTCCCCTTTGGAGATGGGGTAGAGATCTGGGAAGGCTCTCGTGATCCGGCCCCATAACACACGTAGAAACCATGCAAAAAAGAGGCACAGACAGTCTGTCTACATGGGGAGAAAGAACCTTTCTTCAATGGGGTGAGCCCAGTCAGCCGAACGGGACCAGACTCCCTCCTTAACAGCTGTGTAGACACGGTTCAACACCTTCCAAGTCAGATCAGCTGGCTGGGCTGTGGCCCAAGCTCCCACTCCAGCTAGTACAACTGGAAAGGCATTAAACCGCACCTACACAGGCATCCAAGGGACCGTTCAGCCCTGCTCAGCTGACTCAACTGGAAAAGGCGCCTTTTCGCCTGTGTAGACAGGCCAGGGAGGTCAAAGGTCAGTTCTCAGCTGGGTGAAGCACCTGTGGGTCCTACTGACATCAATGGACCAGCGAGGACGCGACATCCTTCCAAACCAGCTTGCAAACGCCTGACCCGAAAGCAATGAAAGTGGGACTCAAACTCAGCTCCCTGACTTCACACCAGTGAACCACACCTCCCTCAGCAAGCCCGCACCAAGCCGACTCAGGTACCGTCTTCAGAGAGGGAAAAGGCCTATTGGCCTAGTTCAAAAAAGAACTAGATAAATTCACGGAGGATAGGTCCATCAACGGCTATTAGCCAGGATGGGCAGGGATGGTGTCCCTAGCCTGTTTGCCAGAAGCTAGGAATGGGTGACAGGGGATGGATCACTTCATGATTACCTGTTCTGTTCATTCCCTCTGGGGCACCTGGCATTGGCCACTGTCGGACGACAGGATACTGGGCAAGATGGGCCTTTGGTCTGATCCAGTATGGCTGTTCTTATGATCACCCAGCCTGTCCCCCACTAATGCAGGATCGCTCCCTTCGGAGTGTCCCTGGGGGCTCTATCCAAGCCGAATGTGACCAACTCTACAAACAGGAATTCCATCAGCTCCCCCGGAATTCACGGGGTGACCGACCTCACTGCATCCAACTTACACCTCTTCCCAACTGCCCAGCCGATCTGCATTGCCCCACAGACGGCTTCACGGCATTCCTCTCAGAGCCTACAGGCCAGTGGGGACAGTGAGCGCCTGGACAGCCCTGGCGGGCTGCCGGGTCGCTCTGGAAATGCGGCCGTGCCCTTGCAGCACGCTGGCCCCGCCCCGCCTCACCTTGACAAGCAGCTCGTAGCGCGGGATCCTCTGCACAGGCTTGATCATCAGGTCCGACAGCGCCTGCTTCTCTTTGTTCTCCCGCATGCTTTGCTGCAGAACCGTGGGGAAGGGAGGAGAGAGGGGGTTCTCGTCAGAAATGAGACTAAGCGGCTGCGTGGTTTACTCCACGGCTCACAGGGACAGAACACCGCACGGGTCATGGCTGAGAACGTAACCAGATTCCGTAAGGCATTCCCACAGACCTCCAGAGCATCCAGCGTTATCATCACTAGCAGCAACAGCCCCACATCTCCCCACTGCAGGGGTCTTATGCTTTCCCCTGAGCATCTGGTTCTGGCCATTGTCACTGGACTGGATGGACCTCAGATCGGATCCAGTTCCTATGGTCTGAGGCTCAGGACGAGCTACAATCAGTCCCAGACCATGTACAAAACCACAGCTAGGTGGAGACTGCAAAGACAAGATCCAGTCCCTTGGGAATTCCCAGGCTAGAAACTCGGGCTTATCTCCACCACTGAAGACTGAACCAAGGAGGCGTGGCTAAATGGCTTGGGGGTGTGGCCAGCCTCTCTCCCCCACTCCGAGCCTGCTAGCATGCCTGAGCCTGGCCCACAGAGGCATGATGCCTCAGAGCTGATCTGCTACATGTCCACAAGCCCTGTCTGCAGAGAACAGCCAGGGCATAATCTGGCTCATATGGGGATCTCAGTGCGAATGCTGAATGAGCCCGGTCACTCCCGTGGTGCCAGGCTAGTGCCAGCAGCCCAGGACTGGGGCGTTGGAGCAGGAGAAGCTGGACGGGAAGGAAGAAAGTTCTTATTCAGACACAAGAGGCAAGACGGTCAGCTGGTGCAAATGGGTGTAGCACCAATAAAGTTAATGGAGTGATACTGATTCACATCAGCTGAGGATCTGGAGTGACACCGATTCACACCAGCGGACAATGTGGAGTGACACCGATTCACACCAGCTGAGGAGCTGGCCCAAACATCTGCAATAAAAGAATCAGGAACATGGAAAAATCCTGGCCAGATAAATGCAAATCTATTCCCTCCAACGTTTTCTTTCCCACTCCCCTCGCCCCTACCAGAGTGCTCCAGCATGATGCCCCTTGATCCTCGGTCAGTGGAGGGACGAGTCTGGCCGCTCATCTCTGGACATGCGCAGACTGTACCTACTGAGCTGCAGAACCAAATCAGCTGCTCGGCTGCCCCTGCCGGGATAGCAACCTACCTCCAGGAACTTCATAAAGGCCGGCCTGGCTTCCTTGGCTACTCTCACGGCATCCTTGGCGTTGAGGAAGTTATCGATGTATGCGGAATAAATGCTCACCAGGATGTCCTTGGAAAACTGGGGGAGCAAAACAGAGAGACCAATGAGGGGGGGGGTCTTCCAGGACGAGAGAGAGGCTTTCTCTGAGCACGTCATACAGAGAAAACCAGGGAACAAAACCACACGAGTAACCCTGGGGTTTGGAAAGGGCTGGAGAAGCAGCAGAGTCCCCACCTTTGACTCTGGGCATGGCCGACTGTCTGTGCCCTGCTTCACCCAGGCTTCCCATTAATCTGGGGACCTGGTCATCAGAGTTTGCTTCTGAACGTAAAGCTTAACAGTAAAGCCAAGTATTCACTGCAGCTGTGAACCGGGGGAGTTTCTGCGGGGCTGAGCTAGAGCCGTGGGTCTCAACCGGGGGTCCGGGGCCCCATGGGGGTCCGCGAGCAGGTTTCAAGGGGTCCTCCAAGCAGGGCCAGCATTAGACTCGCTGGGGCCCAGGGTAGAAAGCCGAAGTCGCACTGCATGGGGCTGAAACCCAGGGCCCTGAGCCCTGTCACCTGGGGCGGAAGTCAAAGACTAAGCAACTTAGCTTTGCGGGGGCCCCTATGGCGTGGGACCCCAGGCAACTTCCCTGCTTGCTAACCCCTAACGCCAGCCTGGCTTTCATATGCAGAAAACCAGTTGTTGTGGCACAGGTGGGCCGGGGAGTTTTTATATCATGTTGAGGGAGGCCTCAGAAAGAAAAAGGTTGAGAATCCCATAGCTAAAGCATGTCCTCTGAAGACCTGGTTTGTTTTCTAAAAGGACAGGGTAGAGGGCCTTCCTCAACAATAGAGTGTGTGTGTGTGTGCGCGCATAGATGCCGACTTCCCCTCTGCCCAGTGGGTGCTCAAACCCCCCCCCCCAGCCCTACCTCTTCTAGCCCCTCCACCTCCCTCACCCCGCCCCCATTCCACCCCTTCCCCAAAGTCTCTGCCCTCCTCCCGCTCCCATTTCACCCCCTTCCCCAAGTCCCCGCCCCTACCCCACCTCTTCTCTGCCCCCTCCCCTGAGCATGCTGCATCCCTGCTCCTCCCCTTCCCTCCGGAAAGACCTAAGTGCCGCCAAACAGCTGTTAGGCGGCGGGGGGTGGGGGAAGGTGCTGGGAGGGAGGGGGAGGAGCAGGGACGCAGCACGCTCGGTGCGGGGAGAAGGAGGCAGGAGGAGCTTGGCTGCCGGTGGTTGTGGAGCACCCGCTGATTTTTCCCTGTGGGTGCTCCAGACCCGGAGCACCTACGGGGGGAGGGGGGGGAGAGAGAGAGAGTGAGTGAGTGAGTGTGTGTGTGTGTGTGTGTAGAAGACACTATTAG